AGCAGGCTGAACTGCAGCAGGCTGAACTGCAGCAGGCTGAACTGCAGGTTTGTTTGCTTTGCCATCCTTTGGGAACGATCAGCTCCGGAGAGGTGAGCCTTTGAAACACAAAACTGCCCCATCTTCAACACAATCAGTTCAGGTCCGCAAACACAAAGCAGCACTGAGCTGCACCTTCCCCGGGTTCGACACCAGGGAACTCACAGCTGCTGAATGCCCAAGAAGCAGCTTCAGCGTAGATCAGGGGATCAAAGCCACAGGGACCCTTCCCCACGCCAACAGCACCCTGCTTAATGAGGCTGCCCTCATTAAGAACGGTGTTTTGGTATCAGGTCGCTGGAGGCAGCCTCAGCTGCCAGCAAAGGAGAAAACATTGTGGTGGTTTCAATTCCCTTTCCTCCTACTAGTGCAAGTTACACAGGTGAAAGCCTGAACACCTCATCTGTGTGTCCCTGGCAGAGAATTATCCCTTTTTATCAAGTTCTGCTCTGAAAGATGCCAGCGACAGGCTGCCACCAAGCCAGATTGGGATACATCACACAGAACTAGTTAGCCTGCCCTGAAAGGAGCAGACAGTGCTAAACTTCAAAACTCAAATCTAAGTCCTCTCAGCTCTCCTACACAAAAAAAAAAACAGTTAAAGAGCCCAAGAAAAAGTCAGGCCTCTCACTTTGGAAGGGACCTGGAGGCTTGTAAGTGAACATCAAGATCAGGGACAGGCCAGCAACGCAGCCCAGCTGCAGGTGGCAAAGCGCAAAAGGGACCCAGAGCCTTCAAGTCTCTCCTAAAGCCACTCGCGGTCCTTCTGCTTCCATCGCAAAGTTCGTTTTCTAAGCTACACGTTCCATATTTCACCAGGGAAATCCATCTGCACCATCACCACCCCCAGAACGCAGCAGCAAGCTCAGGCTTTGCTCAGGCTCTGCTCAGAGCCACGCTGTGCCCAGAGGGGGCCGGGTCAGCCGTGGAGTTGGTGCTGCAGTCGATGTAGTGATACGTTTCCACCGAGCTCTGCGTCCTGCGGCCCATGTAGGAGAGCTTCACCGACGTCCTGAGGGAAAGGAGAGGGCCAGGGGTAAATCCCTCCGTTCAATGCAATCAGTGGGGCTTCGTGCTCATCTCATAAGTGCTCAGGTTTTGAGCAGACCCACCCAAGGGTGCTCGCTGCAAAGAGGTGAGCAGAGCTGCTGAGCCTAGCCCCAGAGCACAGCACCCACCATGCAGAAGCTCCATTCAGAGCCAGCTGGCGTCTTCTGTTCCTCCCTATCTTACATTTTACCTGTGCCACCAGGCCTGGATTAAAGCTGACAGTGAACCAGGCTGGGCTGTTCGCTGAGCACAGTTTTCTCTGATTGCCCCAGCCTTGATGCAGCACCAGTTCCATTCTGAGTCAGGAGCAGAGCTAAACCTACCTCATGAAGATGACGATATTATGCACCTTCACCTTGGGAAACGTGCAGAAGAAACTGGAAGAGATGAAAAGAGAGCAAGTGGTCAGCATGGGCTGAGCAGCCTAGCAGAAATGACTGCGCTTCTTGGAATCTTCTGATGTAGTTTTACCTCTGGTGTTAACTCAGCATCCAAAACCCCAACACAACATCCTGACAAAGTGGCCTTTCAAGTCATTTCTAGCAAATGGTTGTTTTCCAGAAAGTGAGCACAAAGCAACTCATTTCCAAAGCAAGCAATAACTAAAGTGGCTCAAACCTACTGTACACAAAGAACAGTAAATCCTTACTACACATAGGAGAAAGGTCCTCCCATCTCCGCCTTCACCGTGAAATTCACCTGTAAGACAAAAACCCACTCGCTTGCAGTTTGATCACTCCCTTCCAAACCCCCCTGTCACAGTATTTCCTGCACTACATTGCATTGCAGCTGCTGTGCAGAGAGCACAGCCAGACTATTTGCTAAGCAAAGCTCCAAGGCACAGATGCAGTGCCCTCAAGTGAGCTTGAGATATCACACCAATTCCACACGTGATTTAGGGATGCTTGCAATGCACGCTGCAAAGGCAAATAAAGACAAATACCAGCTTGTCAGTTAGTGGCTGGATGCTGGAGATGTTGGTGATCTGCTGGCTGCCCACCACAGTGTTCATGTACTGCACCTGACTGGTCAGACTGTCCACTGTCACTGAGTAGAAGTTGGAGTTCCTGATCTGCAAAGTGGCCTGGAAGGACAGCAGGGAGGCACGGGTAACAAGAACATTCCTGGCAGCTCAGCACAGGATTTTTCCCCTCACAAACAGGGATGCACAAAAACTTTACCGTGATGGCAAGAAGGACAACGGAGTTCTTCCTGTCGAACCAGACCTGAACCACCTTAATGCCGCCATCATCCACCAGGACAGAGTGCGGAAAGAGGAAGAAAACGACCAGCCCTGAGATCAGAAGGCAGAGCAGCACCGACAGGAGGACATAGAGCTTCCTGGAAGAGGCAGGAAATGGGTCACAGCCTTTGCCCTAACACAGCATCTGCAACTGCAAGACATCTTGTATCCGAAACCCAAACTTGTCAGCAAAACCAAGCATATCTGCTCTTCCCTAAAAGAGACACAGAAGTGCTGCTCTAACATTTTTCATATCTGAAATTGCTCAAAACAGCCACCCTTTACACAGTTCACTTTTCAGTAATGAGTAACCAAACAATCTTCCTTCGCCCCAAAGCATTCTCAGAATCTACAAACGGTGCAGCTGGGAATGCAGTTTCTTTCTAAAAGCTTCTGTAAAGAGCGCAAAAACAAAGTGTGTGAGTGGGACGACTGTTTCCACATTCACTCCCACGATGGGACTTAACAGAAAATATTTGAAGTGAAAGTTTAAGCTGTATTTGTTGGCACACTTCAGTGAAAACAAGGCATGAGACGAAGGAAAAGCTGCAGACTGCATAAAGCCCTGAGCTGCGGCATTCAGGGACAGAAGAGCACTGTCTGCTCTTTGCAAGGCTTTAATTATGCTTAATTATGCACTTACGTCCTCTGTGGACGGAGCCTCTGGTCGCTGTAGGGTATCAAAGCCACCAACTCATTTACCTGCTCTGCAAAGCAGAAGGAACACAGTGAGCAACTCCACGCGACTGCAAAACCTTTTAAGTAAGGAAGGAGCGTTGCTGCACCTCGCTTTTTTTGTGCTAAGGACAAAAGGAGCAGAGCACTCACCTGTGGGAATGCAGCCAGTGCCTTGGCAAGTGGGGCAGGTGATGCTGTCCTGACCTGTGAATTCAACGTATGGAAATTTGGCAATGTCCTCATTGCGGTCTCGGCTGTCGAGTAAATCATCATCACCATCATCATCCTCGTCAGCCTTCCTCCTCCACCTGGAGGCAGCGCTGTCAGCAGACAGAGAAAGCGCAGAACCCATTGCAGCTGTGGAGGAAGAGCTGCACAGACAGCAGCAGAGAACTCAGTGCGTTTGGTGGCAGACAGAGAAACCCCACGTTGAACCACGGGCAGGAGAGGAAACGCCCCCCCTCCCTCCCCAAAACCCATTACAGACCCTCACACGCAGCCCCCCACTTTCACAGCCTTCTCCTATCAGAAAACCACCCACCCTCAG